GAGTAGAGTAGAGTAGAGTAGAGTAGAGTAGAGTAGAGTAGAGTAGAATAGAAGCAGAACAGAACAAGAATAAAACAGAACAGAACAAAACTGGAAGGGACCTTGGAGGTCTGCTAATCCAGCCCCCTGCTCAAGCAGGAGAACCTATTCCTGTGATGGCGAACCTATGGCACGCGTGCCACAGATGGCACACAGAGCCATATCTGTGGGCACGTGAGCGTTGCCCTAGCTCAGCTCCAGCACGCATGCGTGCACCGGCCAGCTGATTTTCGGGCCTTCCAAGCCCACCGGAAGTCAGGAAACGGGCTGTTTCCGGCCTCTGGAGGGCCTCCGGGGAGGGGGGGAGACTGTTTTCGCCCTCCCCATGCTCCTAGAAAGCCTCTGGAACCTGGGGTGGCTGACAAACCGGGCCCACCGTACCATCGCGTGCCAAAAGCGGGGGGGGGGGGGCCCGGGGGGGGGGGCGCGGCCCTGGGGGGGGGGGGGGACGCATTAAATTATGGGTATGGGCACACAGGCGTGTGACACACACACACCCGCGCCCCTCCCCCTTTTGGCACGTGACGGCAAAAGGGTTAGCCATCCCTGACCTATACCATTTCAGATAAGTGACCAGTCTAGTCTCTTCTTAAAAACCTATCATTTCTGAAGGAAAGCATTAAAAGATTAGCACATTGTGGTGTCGAGGAGACTACGAGCCTATCAGCACAAAGGAAAAATTACCTCATCCGACATCAACGTGGCAATGGATCGACCGATTTCGTGGTAGGATTTTGCTTTGCCTTTTGGGCCCAGCAAAATGAACAGGAACCTGAACCCCAGGAAGAAAACCAGCGTTATTATCATCTGCAAATCCACATGCATTTTTTTTTTATTGAGAATGTTTACTTAAGCAACTACAAAGAAAAAATATGAAAAAGAGGGAATGGCTAGATAAGAGAAGGCCTAGTCTCCAGCCGCATAATGGATGGAGAATAGAGGTTCAGAAGGGGCTGTCCTGAAATTCTCAGGCTGTAAAGAATAGAGAGTAAGATTTGTACTTTCAGACTTGCAAGAATTCTGTTAATATAATCTTGCAATGAATAGAATTATTTCATCTGGCTTTGTTTCCTGACTGATCTACCTGTGTGTGAAGGCTGACAGTTCGGTGACGGGAAATAATTTCAAAGAGAAGCAAGAGTCTCACGGTTTCTTTGCAGCATTGAGCTGTGATACCTACAAATTAGCCCATATGACCATCCAAGACAGAATAACAGAGTTGGAAGGGACCTTGGAGGTCTTCTAGTCCAACCCCCTGCCCAGGAAGGAAACCCTACACCACTTCCGACAAATGGTCGTCCAACATCTTCTTAAAAACTTCCAGTGTTGGAGCATTCACAACTTCTGGAGGAAAGTTGTTCCACTGATGAATTGTTCTAACTATCAGGAAATTTCTCCTTAGTTCTAAGTTGCTTTTCTCCTTGATTAGTTTCCACCCATTGCTTCTTGTCCTGCCCTCAGGTGCTTTGGAGAACAGCTTGACTCCCTCTTCTTTGTGGCAGCCCCTGAGATATTGGAAGACTGCTATCATGTCTCCCCTAGTCCTTCTTTTCATTAAACTGGACATACCCAATTCCTACAATTTTTTCTTCATAGGTTTTAGCCTCCAATCAGACATTCCAGCTGATGTGCAGCTGTCACATAAACATTTATTCAATCTCTCCAGGTAGGGATATCACAGCCATGTGATACACTCATGGCCATAAGCTTTGCACAGGAGGGTTCTTTAGATTAAAATTAACGACTTCCTTCTCAAGAAACAAATTCCCTTACCTTCTTCCTCATTTTATTGCAACGACAAATTTCAGTGGTATTGGCGAATAACTACTATGCAAATACTTGCTATTTGCTTATGTGTGCAATTCTGGGAGAAATAAAAGCTTTTCCTGCGATACCTTGCAGAAGCCAATGGCGTAAATTATTTATTTTCAATCGGCTAATTAGAACTGCCATATAAATAAATAAAGAGGTTTCTGAAGAGGGCAAATGGCTATATTGCAGCAAAGTAAATGCCATGGTTTGTTTTGTTTTTTAAATGAGAGCAAAGAGCAAACTCAACATGAGGGAAATTAATATTTCTACAGACAGCTGCATTAAAATCAACATTTATCTTCCCAGAACAGACTTCCTCATGCTGGCTGACACGTCCATGGAGACTTTCTGGAAAACTTGAGGAACTACTGGATTAATATTAGAACATGGCTAGAAGAAATGATACAACACTTTATTGATTTAAAACCTGAACTGTTCCTATTGCGTATCTTACCAGAGAAATACCAGAGAAAGAGAATACTTATTTGATTATACATATTGTAACTGCAGCGAGAATTGTCTTTGCGCAAAATTGGAAAGCAGAGAAAATCCCTTTAGAGGGAGAAGTAATTAAGAAAATATTGGAATGTGCAGAAATGAATAGATTAACATTGGTAATTAAAGAAAAGGAAGAATCAGAGTATTTTAAAGTATGGGGGCAATTATATCAATGGTTAGAGAAGATATATATATATATATATATAAATTTAGATAATTGATGAATTAATATAAACATAAGAAATTTGGGAAGAATGATGTAACAATTTAAATGAAAATATAAAGGTATGATAGAAATATAATATGAAAATGACGGAGGAGGGAGTAGAAGACACAAAATATGTACTCGACTGAAACCCTGAATGATTAAGGATGTATTGTTTGTTTGCATGTTTGTTTGTTTAAAAAAAAAAAAATAAACTTTTTTTTAAAAAGTTTTCCAGAAACTCTCCATGGGAAATATCATGGCTTATTAAAGCAATCACTGGATTGCAGGTTCATTTTTAAACTTTAAATGTAATTTTAAAAAAAAATACACAGCAACAGATAGAAAAAAACTCGTTTACCGAGTAGGTACGGGGACCTCTGTCAGAGCGCCAAGCATGACTGCTTGCTGCAACCGCACGAAGGCAATAAAAGGGTTTTCCAAAAAGTCGACTTCTCCAACCAGCACATTGGAGGCCTCAGCATCCCGAGGTAACTTCTTCATGAATTTGTTCTTCAGCTGAATGAAAAAAAGAGAAAAAACAGAAGTTTTAAAGGACGAATCCTCCTTAGCATCAAACCAGAAAGCAACTTGCAGATGGTTTGTGGTTACCTTCAGTGGTGGGATTCAAATAATTTAAAAACCGGTTCTCTGCCCTAATGAATGGCTGGGTGGGCGTGGCCATGGTGGGCGTGGCCAGGGGGTAGGACAGGCAGCACTCGGCCTCCTAGGCCCAAAACGGGCCACGGGGGGGGAGGTTGCGGCCCGGCCCCCTGCAGCCTGTTTTTGCTCCCAGGAGGCTGCAGAAAGGCCTACTAGACCCAAAATGGGGCACAGGGGGTGGGGGGGGTTGTGGCCCGGCCCCCCGCAGCCCGTTTTTGCTCCCAGGAGGCTGCAGAGAGGCCAAGGCCCAAAAGGGGGCGTGGGGGGGGCGGTAGCATCTCTACAGCCAGCATCTCTACAGAAAAGAACTCAATACAAAGCAAAGAATGATGGAGAAATTGCTGTCATAAATAGCTGAAGCCACACAGAAGTCTTTCCTGCATGCCGGAGAGGCAGACCAGAGAAAGAACACAGTCTCTCAAGTCTGTTGCACATTTCCCACATGAACTGCAGGCAACAATCACACCAACTGTCAATCATGAGGGCCATCTGGAAGAGACAAGTGAAATATAACTCTACCGTTCCCTGATCCATTATTGATGGAAACTGCATAATAAATTATCTGACCTGATCTGGTAAATTGGATGGATGCAGAGGCTTATAGAATAGAGGATGGAGACAAACAAGAAGTTCCACTTGGTACTTTATTGAAAAATAAGTACAGACGAGAGAGACTATAGCTGTAATTATTCATCCCGTCCCCAACCGGCCAATACTCCTGCAGGGAAATGCCTATTATAATATTATAATGAAAGAGTCATAATCTTTCATTGTAATTTCATTGTAACGAAAGATGATTAGGGGGCTAAAACATAGGAAGAATGGTTGCAGGAACTGGGTATGTCTAGTTTAATGACAAGAAGGACTACGGGAGACATGATAGCAGTCTTCCAATATCTCAGGGGCTGCCACAAAGAAGAGGGAGTCAAGCTATTCTCCAAAGCACCTGAAGGCAGGACAAGAAGCAATGGGTGGAAACTAATCAAGGAGAGAAGCAACTTAGAACTAAGGAGAAATTTCCTGATAGTTAGAACAATTCATCAGTGGAACGAGTTGGCTCCAGAAGTTGTGGATGCTCCAACACTGGAAGTTTTGAAGAAAATATTGGACAACCATTTGACTGAAATGGCATAGGACTTCCTATCTGAGCAGGGGGTTGGACTAGAAGACCTCCAAGGTCCCTTTCAACTCTGTTATTATGAGTCAGGGACAGATATTTGAGGATACTGTTTTCCTCAATTTCTCATATCATGCCCTTCCCTCCAAAAAAAAAATGAATTCATGCCATATTATATGCCTTCAAAATAGCATTGCAACTAATATTACTCTTCTCTGACTTGTCACGTCCAGTAGGAATCAAAATGTTGACTCTTTTAGGAAGAAACAAGGATTCTGAATTTTCACTTTGCAAACGGATTACAGCAGTTGACTTAGTGATGGTTTGAAGTTACAACAGCACTGAAAAAAGTGACTGATGACCATTTTTCACACGTATGACCGTAGCAGCATCCCCCTGGTCATGTGATTTACATTTGGATGCTTGCAAATTGGCTGATATTTATGACGGTTGCAGTGTCCCAGGGAGCCCTTTTGCGACCTTCTGAGAAGCAAAGATAACAGGGAAGCCGTTGAGTTTCACATAACAACTAATTTAACAACTTCGGTGATTCGCTTAACAAATGTGGCAAGGTAAGTCGTAAAGTGGGGCGAAGCTCCCTTAACAAATTTCTCGCTCAAGCAGATAAATGTTGGGCTCAACTGTGGTCGTGCGTTGAGGACTAGCTGTACCCTACTGCCTACCGACTTCCTTTCAGACAGGTGTGTGAAAAGGGCACCGTTTCGCAAAACTCCTTGCTTCATCGCTGGGGGTTAATCCAGGACACGAGAGCAAACACGGCCACTAACACTCATTGCCAGTGAATGAAAAGTTAGACAATCGCCAGTGCCGATGAGCGAAAGAAAGGCGAGGCTGAGTAAGTAAGGTCTTACACAACTCATAGGAGGAATAAGCTTCCCACAGCAGGAAATGGTGTCTACAGTTTTATTTGGCGAAGCGAGAGGTATTCTTCAACCAAGACAAGCACTTTATAAAACTTTAGAATTAGCGTGGACAAAATGAGGAGGGGGGGGTTGGAAACGGTCTTTCCTGTTGATATGGCAACCTGGGAGTCAGGAAAGCGCCACAAACACAGAGACAAGAGACTTCTGTCTACGATTCAGCTGGCCAAGGGCATCCAAACGTACTCTGCATCCTAAGCAGGTGTTCCCTGCAAAAACACCCTCCCCGCAAAAACAGAAACCCAATTCTCATGCATTTGGTTGGAGGACGGTCAGCTCGAATACAAATTTTCATCTGTGTCTGAAACTGAACGAAAAAGCATTTCCTCCCCTTTTTTCCCCCATCGACAGCCCCGTCCCATTCATTTCTGCAACTTCGTAGATTTAAAATATAAGCCGCTGGGGGAAGGTAGGAAGAGGCCGCTGAGATTCACTTGGGGGGCAAAGGGGGGAGGGGGAAAGAAGGAGGTTTGTCAAGGATATGGAAACAAAGCCCAAAGAACGGAGCGCTTGGAGATTGGCAAAGCTTCTGGGGGAGGACGAGGGTCCAACTTCCTGTATAAAGAGTTCACCTAATCCTCAAAAATAAGAGACTGCGTGAACAAGGATCATTTGTGCATCTCTTCTGCTGGAAGATACTGGAGCCTGATGCTGTTTCCAAACAAACACAGAGGACACCTAACAGTCCCTTTTTGAAGAAGAAAAATCCTGCAAGTCACAAAACACACGCTTTTCACACACGCTCTCTTCTGAATTGAGGTCACTGCCTTCATGAGTCTCAAGGAATTTTTGTGAGATTTGCAACCTGCAGGACGGAAGTAAAAAACAAAACTCTTGCGGAAAGACTAACATTATCAATCTATCTGTCTGTCTGTCTGTCTATCTATCTATCTATCTCTCCATCCATCCATCCACCTACCTACCTACCTACCTAATTTTTATCCTGACTTTATTACTTTATAAGTAACTCAAGGCAGCGAACATACCTAACATTCCTTCCACCCCTATTTTCTGAACAACAACAACCCTGTGAGGTAAATTGAGAGAGACTTACCCAGCCAGTTTTCATGCCAAAGGCGGGACTAGAACGCACAGTCTCCTGGTGATTGGCCCAAAAAGAGCCTTGGTAGTACAGTGGTCTAAGGCACCCTGTTATTAAGCTGGTTATTAAGACCAGCTGCCTGCAATTACTGCAGGTTCGAAACTTGCCAAGGCTCAAGGTTGACTCAGCCTTCCATCCTTTCTAAGGTAGGTAAATTGAGGACCCAGTTTGTGGGGGCAATAAGCTGACTTTGTATAAATATACAAAAGTATGAAGGCTATTGCTTAGCGCATTGTAAGCCGCCCTGAGTCTCCAGAGAAGGGCGGCATATAAATCAAATTAAAAAAAAAAAGTCACCCAGCCGGCTTTCATGCCTAAGACGGAACTAGAACTCAGAGTCTCCTGGTGATTGGCCCAAAGTCACCCAGCCGTCTTTCATGCCTAAGGTGGGACTAGAACTCACAGTCTCCTGTTTTCTAAGCCAGCATCTTAATCATTGCACCAAACTGGCTGTCAATTTATCTTGGCCATAAATTATACCGCTACTTATAATTATGCCTTCACTTCCACCCATCCATTCATGTATACAAAGTTATCTTGCAAAGTAATCAGTAGTGGGATTCAAATAATTTAACAACTGGTTCTCTGCCCTAATGACTGGCTGGGTGGGCGTGGCCAGGGTGTGTGACAGGCAGTACTTGGCTTCCTGCACCCTGGGAGCAAAAATAGGCCACGGGGGGGGGGGGGACCGCCCCTCCATGCCCCATTTTGGTTCTAGTAGGCCTCCCTGCAGCCTCTTGGAAGCAAAAACGGGCCACAGGGGGAGTTCTGGAAGGGGAAGGGAGGGGCCCGTCAGCAATTTAAAACCAGTTCTGTTGAAGTGGTGCGAACTGGTTGAATCCCACCACTGGAAGTAAAATATAAATCTCTTCAGCTTGTCGCAACCTTTCCTTTCAATTCACCTACTGCGTCAGCAACTCAACTCTATTTGTGGTAGAACTAAATAGGGAACCTCACTTCAAATTTGAGCAAGTGTAAACGCAAGCGAGAACAGCAGATCTATTTTCCCTGAAGATGAAAAGATGGGAAGCTTAGCAAGATAATGATAAGTTAACGAAGAATAGGGAAGGTTGTATAATAGTTGAACCTAGGTAACATATGCATATATAGCTATGCTTATCAGAGTCAGGAAGGGCGCCATGCTCTTTGTTAAAAAAAGATTACAAAAAAAACCTCCAGAAATAATGCCTATTTAAATTTCTTTAATGTTGACCTAGATAAAGGCTGAATTTGCCACTTCAAGCAGGAATGATATTTTAGATAAGGGCACTGAATGTTCCGGAAGGTCTGGACTTCACATCTGCCTAGTAGGTAGGAATGCTTGGCTACCACACTTAGAAAGAGCTCCTTAATTATGGGTAACTTCCATTGTTTTCTGACCAGGAAGTCCAATGGTGGTCAAGATGACATATTTCTCTACATGTCTTGAATTCTAGGCTTTCAGGAGCATGTTTGGTATTCCACCAGCACACCAAAACTTTGCTTCTGGTTGGGTTTCCACAAATAACCTCCTCCTCCTCCTCCTCTCATTTCTCTCCTCCTCCTCCTCTTTCTCTCTTCCCATTCCTCTCTTCCTCCCATTCCTCTCCTTCTCCTCTTCCTCCTCCCTCCTCGTCTTCCCATTCCTCTTTTCCTCCCATTCCTCTCCTCCTCCTCTTTTTCCTTTTCCCATTCCTCTCCTCCTCCCATTCCTCTCCTTCTCCTCCCATTCCTCTCCTTCTCCTCTTCCTCTTCCCTCCTCCTCTTCCCATTCCTCTTTTCCTACCATTCCTCTCCTCCTCCTCTTTCTCCTCTTCCCATTCCTCTCCTTCTCCCATTCCTCTCCTTCTCCTCCTCCCATTCCTCTCCTTCTCCTCTTCCTTCCTCCTCTTCCCATTCCTCTTTTCCTACCACTCCTCTCCTCCTCTTTCTCCTCTTCCCATTCCTCTCCTTCTCCTTCTCCTCTTCCTTCCTCCTCTTCCCATTCCTCTTTTCCTACCATTCCTCTCCTCCTCCTCTTTCTCCTCTTCCCATTCCTCTCCTTCTCCTCCTCCCATTCCTCTCCTTCTCCTCTTCCTCCTCTCTCCTCCTCTTCCCATTCTTCTCCTCTTTCTCCTCTTCCCATTCCTCTCCTCCTACCATTCCTCTCCTCCTCCTCCTCCTCCTCCTAATTCTATGATCTGAATCCCACCTTCTAAAATTAAAGCCCTGATTCTGTCAGGCTACCATTTTATAGCAGACTCTACCTATAATCTATTTGTTTCCATCATGTCAATGTCACTTGCCTTTATTTCACCAGTTGCAACCCTGACTTGTTTCCAAATAATCACATGTTTTCCCTTTCTTGATCGTGCCTAAGAGGCTTTCTGAAAATCAGAGTCTGAAACCTGATGATCAAAGCTAAACATTAAGATACTACAAAGCCGTTTCCCAGAAGTGCTGATAACTGAGTACATTTTTAATATCTGGCTGTCTTCATATTTTGGGAAGTGTTTTGTAGAAGGAGGAGTGCTAGACAGTGGAGGTGGGATTAAAAGAGGAATCAGCCTAGAATCCCTATGGAGCCACGAACAGACTAATTCCAGCCTCCCTTGAATTCCATGGACCCTGAGCCAACTCCAAGCAGGTGTTATCCGTTAGTTGAAAATATTCCTGTGCACAGGCCTCAGGAGCAATAAATCAGTTTAACTGGACCTTCACGTGTGGACCTGATTTTTTGCGCCTGACATGTTTGTACATCTTATTTAAAGAATTGACTCCTTTCCTGCTGTTCTATTTAACAGCACAGCGTGTGGGATTCAGTGCTTTGCGCTTCGTTCACTCTTCATCCCCTGATAAATCACTATTTCATAATCGATCTTCAGTTTCTTAAGCATAACAAGCAAGACACTGAACACCAGCCAAAGAGAAATTCTGACCGCAGTTACAGGAAGTCCTTGATTTACAACCACAACTGGGACTGGAATCTTGGTCACTGAGTGAAGCAGTCTTTAAGTGAGACCTCGGATTGTATGAAGAAAATCAGACAGAAAATGTTCAGTGCTATCGAGTGATATTGTAGGAGAAGACCAGGCTGGGCCTGTGGGAGGGGTGAAACGCGTCATCAGTCTCCAGTCCTTTGCCAAGCGTTTGAATTCTGATCACATGGTCATAAGTCACCTTTTTCATTGCCATTGTAACTTAGAACAGTCACTAAATGAACTGTTGTAAGTTGAGGACTACCTGTACAAAATATCAGGTGGAAGGAGATGAACATCTCATACTACAGTGCATCTCCTGTGTTCCATAGAGCCAAATTAAGAATTATTTTAAAATTGATGCTTATTCATTTCAAAGGATCCAAAAGACAAGTACCTCTGCCCAAAAATGAAATCTGAGTGAAAACTGAATTAAATTAAATTAAATTGCATTACAAAGTTTTTTAGCAGAATTTGGCTGAAATTAGAATAGATTAAAATAATCTATTAAATAATAGATTATAAATAATAAATTAGAAGAGGCAGAAGGACTGGTTAATGATTCAGATGAACACAGGTAAAATTATAAATAGAAATTTACTTCTCCAATAAAAGCAAATCAATAGCAAAAGCAATAGCACTTAGATTTATATACCGCTTAATAGTGCTTTACACCCTCTCTAAGCAGTTTAGAGTCAGCCTCTTGCCCCCAACAATCTGGGTCCTCATTTTACTGACCTCGGAAAGATGGAAGGCTGAGTTTACCTTGAGCCTGTCAGGATTGAACTGCCGAACTGCTGGCAGCCGGCAGTCAGCAGAGGTAGCCTACAGTACTGCATTCTAACCACTGTGCCACCATGGCTCTTTAATAAAAAATAATTAAAAGTGCATCTAAACACAATACATAAATATAAAAAAAGTCAACCAAATAAACAACTACAGCTAAAAGAGATATTCAACAGAGCTAGATGAGAAATACCTAAAAACTACTTAAAGCAAGGTTGCAATGGAACGGTATTGAGTGATGTTCAGAGAAAGAGAGTTGGATCAATCTGACAGTAACAGTTGGAGGTAAAAAAAGTCTGAGCGAGAATTCACAGGAAAAGGAGGTGACATGTCAACTCCATGAAAGGATGGGAGTTTCAGGACATTCAACCCCCAAGCCAAGAAAAAGTCATCCCTGAAAAGAATCTCTACCAATAATAGCAAAAGAAACAGCACCTAGACTTATATACCACTTTACAGCCTTCTCTAAGCAGTTTACAAAATCAGCATATTGCCTCCAACAATCTGGGTCATCATTTTACTGACGTCGGAAGGATGGAAGTTTCAGTCAACCATGAGCCGGATCAGGATTGAACTGCTGGCAATCGGCAGAATTAGCCTGCAATTGTTGTGGCCCGTCAGTGGCCAGAGGATCTGGCAGCAGATTTGGACAGTGAGGAGGTTGGGGAGGAACATGGGCCAGTCTTGGAGTCTGGGGAAGGCTCTGATAAGGGCTCTGCGTCTGAGGCAGAGAGGGGGCCAGAGCCGTATGCCAGTTATCAGCTGCCTTCTGAGTCAGACATCAGTGAGGCAGAGGAACAGCTGCAGCCTGTTCCCAGAGTGCACATGCGCAGAGTTGGCAGACGAAGGGAACAGCTAAAGAACAAGGGTCGACTTGGGAGTAACGCCACAGGTGGACAATGAATGGCCCCTCCCAAAGGGAATAAAAGAGGAGCAAAGGGGAGTGGAGTTTGCAGGAGACAATTAGTTCATTCCTGCATTCTTGCCCAGTATTGCACCATATGAAAGATATCAACCTGGCCACTCTCCAAGCCTGATAAAGGTCGGTAATTGTGAACTATCTTGAAAGACCTTGGGAGAGGAAAGACTTTGCTGGAGAGGAATTCACTGTAAATTAAATAAAAGGGGTTTATCGGGACGAAGATCCGGCTTCGTGCTGCTGGGGAAGCCTAGGTCAGAACAGCAATACCACATTCTAACCACTGTGCCACCACGGCTCTATAAATAAGCTGTAACACATCATCTTAAACCCAAACCGAGCAAATCAAGTACTGTAATGGCTTCTTCAGATGACAACAAGCAACAGTTCTGGACTCTTTCTTCCCTGTTTGTCCTCACATTCTCATTCTTCTGGATCATAGACACTCTCGGTACCCCCCTTCAGAAGAGGACACCGATGGCCACAAAATTGAAGCTTACCTGCTCCTTGTCAGGTTTGTCAGAGATGTCGTTCAAACTAGAGGACGTCAAGTTTCTGGGTGTCAAAGCTGGACTACCTGAAAGTACAAGTGCCAAACCAATTAATACAACCGTTGTAATATGTTGAAGACAGAGAGACTCAAGGCTATAGCAATACCCGATTAAGATAACCTGATAATTACACAAACCTTGTTTGGAAACCTAGAATTAAAGAAGAACTTGAGTCAAGCTTGACTCTTGGTGACTATATGGAAATGATCATGATTTTTCTCCAGATTCCAGGATTATTATTATTTTTTTTTAATTTCCCAGCTCTGGAATTTGCATGTGATCGTCCAGCAAAAGACTAATTAAGCCTATTTAGCTTCAAGTCGAGACAAGTTGGGCCAAATATTGGCACTTGCTAACAAACGAATGTAAGACAATGACACCTATGTAGCTTGAACATAAACATAATTTCTAATCAAATGGAATATACTAGAGGATACCTATCTCATATAGCAGTCATTAAAATTGTGCAAAAACATTGAAGATTCTTGGGACACATTAAAGACTGCAACTTTATTATTTATCGTTTAAGATGACCCTGTACTCCTGTTTTGGCTTAAAAAGTCTCCCTTTTGTTGTCACTGCCAAGTAAGCAGACATGGATCGACATCACTTCCTTACAGTATGATGGCTATAAAAGAGCTTTGTTGCAAGAGGGCCACCCCCTTCCTTTCTAGGTCACAGACTTCCTAAAAACATCCCACGGATATCGTGTAAAATCAAGACGTGGGATCAAAATGGACATTGGAAGGTTCTTCTGTGCATGGCCAGTTTGTTTTTTGAGGAGCTCCATTCATCACAGTTGGTCAGGGAAAACATCCCAAGTGGAGAAGGAGTGGCAGGACCTGGAGGTGGAGTTAAAACAAAGGCTCAATAAAAGAGAATATTTGTAATTCGGGGTTGAAAGGAGGGGCCCTTGATGGTCTCTGAGCTTGGTTGTTTTCTTGCAGAAGTTTCATTACCCAGACTAGGTAACATCATCAGTGCATCAATCTAGTCTGCAAGAAAACAAGCAAGCTCAGACAATCCCAAAGACCCCTCAAAGAGGGATCAGTCTGGAATCTTTAAGTACCACAAGCTGTCTACATCCCCTGGAATTCCATTCAACCGTATCTAACTCTAATATGTACACTGAGAGTTTATGCACCGGAGACAAATTCCTTCTGTGTCCAATCACACTTGGCCTATTCTATTCTATTCTATTCTATTCTATTCTATTCTATTCTATTCT